CAGCATGAATAGACTGAAACTGATACCTTTGTCTGCAAAGGTGCGTACCTTCACAACAATGGAAAGCAAGCACCAAACAATTCTTTGACATTTGGTGCATTCACTTTAATGGTGATTCTGACATTTTTTTTCTCTTCTTACATTGCTTTGTTAGTTTACTCCAGCTTCGTTTGGATTTTAAGGAGCACTGACAAAGACCCTCCATGTGAAGAACAATTTCATTTTATGAGCTTCTCTGTCATGGGACCCGTATGCAAGACATTCATTACATTTACACCTTCCCTGGCATAAGATCATGAGCATGTCCTGTTTACCTCAAAAATTAAGGAATCACATCTGTTCACTGAGGCAGGACAGAGGTTGTTACCTGTCAATTAATATCTGGCCTCTCAATTCATTGCCATTCTTTGACATTTAAGCCCACCTGACTTTATTTAGTGTTTCAGAACATTAAAAAAAAAACACAAGAACATAAAAGATAAAGATATAAAATAAATTATTTTGAAATAAATTTTTATGTTTTCAAAACAAGAAACAAATAAAAAGAATAAATTATTTTAAAATTATTTTGAAATAAATTTATATGTTTTCAAAACAAGAAACAAATAAAAATATATTTTTTTGTCTCAAATGTTTCGTCTCATTTTTACTAGGTAAATAACATTATCTTTTCTATTTGGTTATTAATTCACGAGAACAGAGTTTGCATGGACTTTTAGTTAGATCCACGTCCAAAATACAGCCTTGGAGCATTTCCATTGTTTTCTTTGTGCTATTTTAAGTGTTTAGAATTACGGTAATTTTTTTATATGTTTTTTAATAAAATAAACCTGAAAAAATAAATTATTTTAGCACATTTTCAAGAAAAAAGTATTTGTAGAAAGCACCTCATACTAAAATATCAAACAACATTAGTAATACAAAAGAATGTAATGTTACATGAGTGCACACTCTTTTAAATCAAATACATACATAATAATTAAAATTAAATTTTTAATTAATGAATCAACTTCAACCTTGCATATTAATTAAATGTTTTATTTTCAACCATAATCATAGCGACAGCCACCGCCACAACCACCGTTGTAACTCTAGAAAAAGTGGGTGCAATTTGGATGCAGTGTAGAAATTTCAATTCTACTCTGGTGGATATTAAGAATAATGTGAAGACAGTGTGTTAGTGTTAGAATTTTTTTATGATGATAGTGATATATATATATATATATATTTGGGACAAATGCTAATATCTGGATTGGTTGATTTTTATAGCCCTCGCACAGCTGTTTTTTTTATTATTATTAATATTGATGTTTAAATTCGTTTGCGTATATTTTAATTAATTTTATATATTTTAAAATTAATAACTATATAAATTTTTAATAATTTTAAAATTTATAAAACTCAAACAAATAATTTTTAAAAAATTAAATTCAAAATCTATTAATTAGTTAAGCTACACCGTTTAAAATCACAACTATTTTTTGCTTGTATTACAAGTATTGTCTTCAGCATGGCTACTTTGTTACTGCAGGAACCCTACTCAACATCAATATGATGTCTAAATGACCTTGGAGAGACGGCACTAAAAATGTTATTAAAGACAGCTGTTAATGTTATCAATAGAGTTGTTGGAGTGCAAGGAAAAATACAATTTCTGCATTGAAGAAAATAATATAGCTTTATATATAAAGTTAAAAAAGTGTTTTATTAAATACACAGCGAAATTATTATTTCACCCCTGACCAATATAAATAACTTACTTTACTAGAAGAGTTGTTTAGTAATTTCGTAATTGTAAACTTAAAGTGTTTTTACTCTGGATTTCAACATATATTTTTGAAATTAGCTTGGTTTTTTATAAGTCGGCAGAATAATACTATTTAAAAAAGATTTGGTGAAATAATATATTTTTATATTATCGCACTTCTAGAGCATAATAAGGTGAAATTCTAATTATTTGTTTTAATTGGTCACCAGTTGGATTCCATTGTATGAACCGATCAACTGTCTCCCATAAAAATCATAATTTAATAAAAAATTTCTTCTAAAGATATTTTACAAATCAAAATATATATCTTTACTTAAAAGTAAACTGTAATTAAAATCTCAAAAAATTATTGTTCACATAGTAATTATACCATGTTTTTTAATGTCATGTAGTTGGACTTGTAATAACGAGTGATTTTAAACAGTTATGTGTAGATATTTCATAACTAAATGAAAATTTTCTCTAAATAAATTATGTAGATGACCTAGTAAATACATTTATAAAATAATTAGACATGATAGAATAATAACTCAAAAAAAAATAAGTTTTTATATAATTATTAAATCACATTTAAATTTTTACGAAAGTTATTAGATTTGTTGTCCTCGGAAATGACACCCTTAGAGTGGTGTCTTTCTAGGTGTATATATATAAGAAATTTAAATGATTGTTTTATAGTCATAAATCAAAGTGTTTTTGATATCTAAAATTTGATTTTTCTAATCATTTAAATTATTTTAATTTTTTTTAAAATGATCAGGTTATGTAAAATTAACTCGTATAATTTAACTTAACTTGAAACTCTCCAGTACAGGATTCAATTTATAAGGTTTAAAAAATATATTAAAAATGTTTGGATATTTTTTTCCACGTTCAAAAATTTATAATTCAACCAGCGGTGCAATACAAGTGAAATTATCTAGTTTAAATGCATGGAGGTGGGTATGCGTTGACTTTTGACTATATACAGAGGTGAAAGTAAAGTTGAGTAAAATACTTGTCACGGCCTGAATATCGGATTCATGACCAGCAACGCAGGAGTGGTGTCGAAAGGACATCCTATCTACACTAAACCTCAGAACAAACATATCCAAAGAATAAGTTATTCAAAAATAAGCAACATTTTGTAATCTTCAAAAATATTATATTATTCAATATTGATGGAACTAAAAGATAGTTCAAAACTCATCATCAGTAATTAAAAACAAAACAATAATCCATAATACTCATTATATTGTCAAAATCCAAACTTAATTAAAACAAGATAATAGTGGAGCGTCTAAGACATCGAATCAAAACTACAAGGAAAGCCTCGCAAAATAAGCAAGGCATACTAACCAAAACTAAAGAAGTAGGAACACCCAATAAAATTCATCTGCTATCAGAAACTAAAAACCTGAAATAATATTAAGAATGAGGGGTGAGTTCAACCAACTCAATGAAAGAATAACATTTAATATATATTTTAGATATTTTAGATATTAATAGTTTACAAATCGATTAATCTTTATATACATAACATATATATATACTAAACATATTATCATAAAGTAGTGAAATACAAATCAGAGATCAGATGACACCCAAGGGTGACTAGATGAGATTTAAAAGTGACCAGATGACACTCAAAGGTGACTACTGTGGGATGATTAGTTGCCACAAACTGATGTCTTTCTCACCAGCTAGGTATACAGAATACTATGTGCACATAGGCTAACTACTCTCCATTATTATGAAGTTACTGACAAGTCATATATCAAGGCATAATAGATATTTACAAAATCATAAAAAATAAAATGTATATCATATCAAATAGAATTTAGTTTGACAGATTGCGAATGCAAATTCAAGAATAAATGAATAATTGAAAAATAAAGCAATATATATAAGTATTCAAGAAATTAACTAGTTGTACTAATTGTATAATTAACATACATATTTATTTAAAATATATACATATTAAAGATTATCCCACTCACCTAGAAAAATATAGATTAAAAGGAATATCAGATAAAAGACCCGAAAAACCTATTGAGGATCGTTAGGAGAATCTATAATAAATATATGAATATACTCAAAAGCAATATAATTAAAAGATTCCAATACATAAAAGAAAATCAGGCTTAGTCTCCTAGGTTTAGGGACTAAAACGACAATTATCCAAAACAGGGATCAAAATATAATTTTATCAAAACTGGGCCAAACTATAAATAAATAACCATACTAAAATTTCACCCATAAACTATTCTTAATTTTGTCTAGAATAAAACAGAGATCGAACTATAATTTTTTATAAAGTTTAGGGATTAACATGTAAATTCCTAAAATTGAGGGACCAAACTAAAAATATTCTAAATAAATTATCAAACTGAGATTCATTATCCTTAACCTTATAATAAAAATTTCCATAATCTCAAAATATATTTGGGGTCAAATTGTAATTTTTTTCAAAGTTTAGGATTAAATTGAATTTTTTTCTAAATCAAGGACCAAAATAAAATTTGATCATCTTCAATCTCAAGACCATTTTGTCCATATTTCACAGTAGGGCAAACATGAATTTCTTAACCCGTAAAAATTACTTTAAATAAATCAACTCATAAATCTTTATTTTCAACAACATACTAATTAATAACCTAACATTAAACCATTAATAATCATAAATCAATCTTAACAATATAAACTTTCAATCCTTATAAACTCTAATCTCTTATTTAATCACTCCATAAACAATTGTAATAAAAAATAATATAAAAGAGAACTACTTACTTGCTACTTCCACCTTTCTTGAATCAAAAATTCAAAATAAAAAACTAAACTCTTTGGTTTGAGGAGAGAAGGGTCACGAGAGCTACAAAAATTAGAAAAGAGAAAAGAAATTCTCCTGTAACTCTTTCTTAAATACCTAGGTTAACTTAGATTGAGTTTGAGTTGACTTGGGTTTAAGTTTAAATCAAAAGTTTGAGCCTTATAATGCCTGACTTATTTGATTATAAATGGATGTGGAGGTGGAATTTTTCAACTGCATGGACCTTCATACTCGAATTTATTTATATAAGTAATTTATGATTATGGTTTTTAAATGTGTATCTAAAATAATTTATTTAGTTTTTTCTAAAATTATTTTGATTAATCTCACATGTCTAATTTATAACCATCAATAATCAAAAATCATTTTTTATATTAAAAATGGAAAAAAAATGCAGTTTTTCACCGAGATTCTCCATTCCAAAACCTGAAAAAACGAAGCACATTTCGGTTTGGATGCGATTTTAATTTTTGGAGGTTTTAATTTACTGAAATTCTATTAAAAACGAACAATCGAATGACGACCACCAGAGGAGGACCTGCCAGTCAACTGGTGCACGTGTATCAAAGATTCCAAGAATATCAAGCACCTGGGGCTACAGTATGCATCAGCTTCCTCAGTCTCATGGTGATCAGAAATACCATTATCCTTTTCTTCTCGTTCGCCTTCCTATCTTCCCAAAATCGTTGTTCAGTTGCACAAAAATGGATTAAAGCTGGTTACTGGTACGGTGGTAGTGACTTCCCAATACCTGACATAAATTCTGCCTTGTTTACACACCTTCTTTGTGCATTTGCCAATGTCAACTCATCCACCTATGAGCTCTCCATCCCATCTGACTTTCAACAGAACTTCTCGAACTTCACCGGCATCGTCAAGCGCAAGAACCCTTCAATTGTAACGCTTCTGTCAATATGGAATGGGCAAGCTGAGACATACAAGTCCATGTTAGGCGAGGCAGTTAACAGTTCTGTCTTGTCTTCAATGCTGACGCAATCCTCCTACAGGAAGTCTTTTATTGATTCTTCGGTAAAAACAGCTAGGACTCTTGGGTTTCAAGGAATAGACTTGTTCTGGCTTTGGCCTAATAGCACAGATTTGTCAAATATAGGAACTCTGTTGGATGAGTGGAGGGCTACTGTTGATTCCGAGCCGAGAAACTCAAGCGTGTCGAAGTTAATTCTAACAATGGGTGTTCGCTACTCACCAAGTCTTCAAAGTGTAAGTTATCCGATCAATTCAATGAAGAGGAATTTAGATTGGGCACATGTTGTAGCATATGACTATCACATGCCTTCAAGGGAGAACTTTACAGGCAACCATGCTGCTTTATATAATCCTTCAAGCAATATTTCTACCGATTTTGGCATTAGAGAATGGTTAAGTGGGGGATATCCAGCAAACAAACTACTTTTGGGTATGCCGTACCATGGATATGCCTGGGAACTGGTGGATCCTTCTGACAATTCTCTTGGCGCACCAGCCTCAGGTCCTGGTGTTACCACTGATGGTTCAATAGGCTATAGGTTCGTCAGATCATTCATTCAAAACTACGGTTATGGAGCTAGGTCAGTTTATAATTCTACTTATGTAGTGAATTATTTCGTTTCTGGATCAACTTGGATCAATTTTGATGATGTGGAGACAGTTAGAGCTAAGATTTCTTACGCGAAGGAAAAGGGGCTACTTGGTTACAACGTGTTTCAAGTGATCCATGATGACAAATGGGCTCTTTCTCTGGCAGGTTGGTAATTATTTTTTATTAGATTGTAAATTAGTCAGGAAAATTGAAAACTCTGCTAGCTGTGGCAGTACTCTGCGTCAGACACAATACCACAGCACCAGCGTATCCCCACATCTGCTGTCAATCTAGGTGGAAGTCTAATCCTCACCTTGCACTGTGTGTTTAGCGTCTTGAACTGTTAAGTCTGTATGTAGATACCAACTAGGCTTTTGTTTATGCTTTGGTTTCTCCGGTGCCTGTTTGACATCATCACTAGTAAAAAAAGTCAATTCTTTAGCCTTCCTTATACGCAACCACACAGAAGTTAAGTAAGAGTAGATGAAAAACTATGAATTCAATTTGATGAGAGATTAATTTAGTAACCTGCATTAACAGCACAAGATGAGGTACACCAAGGAAAAAGGAGCTGGTTATGGCTAAAAATTGTGCTTCCAATTGCTTTGATCAGTATCTTATCAGCCTCATTGATGTTTTACTACAGAAGGAGACTTTTTAAGCGAGAAGGTAAACTTTAATCAATTGAGAGGGTTCATCATTTACTTTCAATAATGGAATGACAAACAGATAAACATTTTTGGGTTGCTTCCTTCTTCTATTTTCAGCTACAGGAACCAGAGTCTTAGGTGATAGAAGTTTCTCTGGTAGAGGAACTAGTTTATCGGCCGCTGCAGAAAATTTTGATGGTGATGCTCCTATCCTGCAGGTGTTCAGTTTTGAAAGCATTAAAACAGCTACAAATAACTTTTCAAGAGAAAACCAGCTTGGAGAGGGTGGGTTTGGCCCTGTTTATAAGGTATTGTATGGTTAACCCTCTGTATTCCTGACTGGAAGTCTCACGTTTGGAACGATTCATGTTCAGATTTTCAGGTTTGTTTACAGGAAATAATGCTAACATCAAGTGTCAAAATGTACTAGGGTAAATTACCAAGAGGCCTGGAAATAGCAGTGAAGAGGCTGTCAGCATCATCAACTCAAGGACTTGAAGAGTTCAAGAACGAGGTTTCGCTTACGGCTAGACTTCAACATGTAAATCTAGTTAGGCTTCTGGGATTTTGCTCCGAGAGGGGAGAGAAGATGCTAATATACGAGTACATGCCAAATAAAAGCTTGGATCTCTACCTCTTTGGTCTGCAATCTTTTTCTGATTAGTCATTGCAGCTAATAAGTACACATTTTATTGACCAGCAGTTTTTTTTCTCCACAAGCTCAAATCATTCTAGTCATCTGCATTGGGAGGTCTCAACGGATGCCAAATTAATGTCATTCTTAAGATACGTAGCAACTAAAAGTTTCTCCTGTGTCATTTTATGCAGATCCAATT